ATAAATACTTCAGTATGACTCTCTAGCAGATAAGAACTTTATTAAAAACAACCACAATGTCATTATTTTACCTAATAAAATTAACAAAAATTTCTTGACATCATTTAATAACCAGTTCAGGTTAAATTTTCTTCAATTGTCTCAAGAATTTTTTTTACATTTCTTTGGGACCAGATCCAAAAAGGGTTTGCACATTATGGGTTGTGGACAGAGCTTTTAGGTCTCTTTTGATCTATACCAGTCTCCTTCAGCTACTTTCCGGTTGTAGGAATTGAGTTGCTTGCCTTGCAGAAGTCCCACATTTTGGATTTGGCTGTTTGCATCCTCATGGTGCTGTTCATGATACTCCTTCACGCTTAAGTAACATCCTAGTGGAAACAGGCTTGATGCCATTTCTGTGTGCCAGACATGTTTCTGGACGTGTGTTGGTAGCCAAAAATATGGGTGGCCAGTATGAACAACTAGTTCTTATACAACAGTGGCAATTTTGAGTCTGATGCCATGAAACATTCCTTTTGTTCCTTCTTCCTTTATACTGGCCTGTAAAGAAGACTTTTGAAAGCGGTGTCTGGGCATGGTACGTGGTGTCTGGGCGTGGCACGTGGTGTTTGGGCGTGGCACCTACTGGAGGACCTGGGAAACTGTTCCTCACATAGAACAAGTGGGTTTAAAAAACCATGTTAGTGTCTTCTTGGGAAATAGGCTAACAAAAGAGGATACACTTACAGAAGAGCATGAATCTAAATTAGGCCACAAATTAGAATGTTTGAGGGAGTCTTTAGGGTTTATTTTGTGGAAGACATCCAGGAGATTTGAATGTGCAGCTGGGAACGAGCGCCGCAGATTCAGATGACAAGGCTGGTGAGGGCCTCAGGCTGCGGTGTGCTGCAGCAGATGGTCCCGCTGGAAACCTTGAGGTAGCAAAGGATATGGGTCAGGGGCATGCAAGCTCAAGTAACAGCAGAAGGCAGTTCCTGGGGTCTCCTGTGGAAATTGATTTATAGACATTTCAGTGGTATTGATGAATGTCTTTATCAATAAGTGATGTCGTGATTTTTTTTTTTTTTAATGGGGAAAGGATTTTGGTTTGGGGAGTCCAGAAATTTGAAAGAAAGAATGACTCCAGCAGCAAACAGAAGAGTCGAGGTGTCATTTGAGACGGGAAAGCTGTGGGGAAGGGTTCTATTTTGAACGTGTTCTGTTTGAGACGCTTATTTTACACCCTGGATTAGATGTTGAATCAGCAGTTGGATGTATGTATGTCTGAAGTTCATAGTTGAAGATAGAAGTTGTGCCTGAAATTCATAATGAAAATACCATCAGGAAAGTAGACATGACGTTTACAGCCGTGGACTGGATGATGTCACCTGGTGAATGTGCAAAGGGCTTTCTGGAAGCCACATGAAGAAGGTTCCCATTTCCCCATATCTGTGCCAATATTTGAGATTATCTTTTATTTTTGCCAAACTGGCAGATAAAGCAGTGATGTGTGTTGGAGCTGGCTCAAGAGAATGAATTGAATACATTTCTTCCCAACTCCTTGTTCAGTGACCTCACATTGGTAGCTTGAAATCGGCAGGGGTGAGAGTATTTGCACTGTGGACACTGACAAACACTACCAATCAGGACTCCTCACCCCCAAACTGTTTTTTTTTTTTTTAAATATGTTTTTTATTTTTAAAAACTATGTATTGATTTCTTTTTAGAGAGAGAGGAACGGAGAGAGAGAGATAGAAACATTGATGTGAGAAACATCTGTTTGCTGCCTCCTGCACGCCCCCTCTGGGGATCGAGCCCACAACCGGGGCATGTGCCCCTATTAAGAATCGAACAAGGACCTCTCAGTCCATGGGACAATGCTCAATCCACTGAGCTACACCCGCCCTGGGCCCAAACTGGTTTTTAAATATATACCAGCATACCAGTGGCTAGAGGTAGTATCACACTGTTTGTATTTCTTTTCCCTCATTGCTAGTGAGTTTGAGCATCTTGTCCATGCTTGCTCGTTCTTCTGCCTTCCCCTCTGTGAATCACCTATTTCTATCCTCTTCTCATGTTTATATAGAATTTTCTGACTTTTATTTTCAAAAGTTCCTTTTATATTTTAGATATTATTCCCTAGCTGCTTTTTAAAAATCCGTGCCAGAGGATATATATTAGAGAGAGAAAAAGGGAGAGAGAGACAGACAGACAGAGACGTCGATCAGTTGCCTCCCATAAGTGCCCCGATCAGGGATCAAACCCAAACCTAGGTATGTGCCCTGACTGAGAATCAAACCCACAACACTTTGGTGCGTGGGACGATGCTCCAATCAGCTTAACCACCCGGCCAGGGCCCTAGCTGCTTTTGAACATACCATATATACGTGTTCTCCCCAATTTGTCAGCTGTCTGTTGACTTTTTCTATAGTATTCTTCACTGAAAAGAATCCTTCACTGTGAGGTAGTCAAATCTCCCAGTCTTTTGTTTTAAGGTTTGTGCTTTTGGAGTCTTGTTTTATGACGTCAATTTCTACCCCACATTCATGAAGATATTCCCCTACATTTTCTTTTCTACCTTTCAAATGTGGGTCTTTATCCATCCTTTCAAATGTGGGTCTTTATCCATCTGGAGTTAATCTTTGTGGATGGTGGATGTGGGAAATCCAACTTCATTTTTCTTCATGCACTAAGCCAGTTTCGCCAATATCATCTTCCAAATAATTTATGCTTTTCTCATTAATTTCTGGTTCCACCTTTACAAATGCTTCTGAGTTTTCTACTCTGTTTCACTGCTCTGTTGTTGTATAATGCCATACATTTTTTTTATCCTCACCTGAGGACATTTTTGCATTTATCTTCAGATAGAGCAGGAGGGAGAGAGGGAAGAAGAGAGAGAGAGACACATCGATGTGAGAGAGACACATCGAGTGGCTGCCACCCACATGAGCCCAACCGGGGCTGGGGCCAAATTGCAACAGAAGTACGTGCCCTTAGCGGGAACCGAACCTGGGACTCTCTGTGGGATGACGCTCTAACCACTGAGCCAAACCTGCCAGGGCTAGTGCCATACATTTTATCACTGTGGTGATGATATACTACCTGGCAGGCAGGTTTCTACTCCTGGCTCTTGCTTTCCAAACCTAACTATTTCAAAATTAATTTTTCCTTATATATTTTATAAGTTTATTGAAGTTCCTGAAACTTTGGATTCCTGCTGGAATTTTGGTGGTTGTAACAGCAGATTTAGAGATTAAAGGGACATTTTTACAATGTAAAGTCATCCTATCCATGGTATAGCTTCGTTTCATTCAATCTTCCTGTATGTCCTTACATAGAGTTTTAAAATTTTCTCTATAACGTTCTTGTAAGTAGTGAGGTTAATTCCTGGATATTATGCTTTAGGGTTTAATTGCTATTCTGAATGGCCTCTTATTGCCTATTACATTTCCTGCTTGCTTCCTGCTGATGTAGAAGAAACTATTGATTTTTAGAAATTGATCTTGTACTTGGCAACCTTCTTGAACTTACTTATTACTTCTAATAGTTGATTCTGTTGGGGTTTCTATGCTAATGATTATATCATCTGCAAACAGAAATATTTTAGGGGTTCTACCTAGTGCTCTGATGTTTTGCTTTAACTACCTCTGCTAGTGGGCATCCAGTTCTGACAACTGGATGTCTCTTGTGGCCCTGATGCTCTGGACACCCAGATTCTGGAAACAGAGTTCTCGTCTTGCTGCCCTCTGGGTGATCCCCGCTCAGTACCTCAGTCCCTGCAAGAGAAGTGACACTGTCTTCCTTTGCTATCCCCTCTAACCCTTTCTCATCATTTGGGGTCCTGTTAGCTGCCCACAGACTTTCTTGATGCTGCCTTTCTGATTGCTGGCCCGAATTTCCGAATGATCCCTGTTGCTCAATGCAACATTTCTGTGTCCTGAATGCCCCCAAACACCCTGTGTAGGTAACACAAACTAGTGGATCAAAATAGGCCTTCATATCAGATAGACAGGGTACTTGGAGCAAGTTACACAGCCTCCTGGAGTCTGTTTCTTTGTTTATAAAGTGAAGGCATGTAAGATCCCATAGCTGAAGGGCCATACAGCAGTCAGGCAGTGTGTCCCTTCACCACACTGATACCGACTGCCACTGCTGATCACCTCCTGGGACTGGTTTATTGCTGCATTCTCCAGGGACCTTGTACCTTCAGATATAGTTCAATCTCAGCAGCTGCAGCTGGACCCTGTCCCTGTGCCTTCTCACGCTGGTGAAAAACTGAAGGCCAAGTTCTAGCCCCATATCATTGCCTAGTCCAGCTCTTGTTAACTTGGCAGTACCTGGCTCTAAGAATGAGATGACCCATGGAGTGCCCCAGGAAGCATAACTCTGATGGGCATGTGCATTCTTGATGATGGTCTAGGGAGTAACTTCAGTTTTTGGAGTGAAAGCAACAAGGTGAATGGGAGACTCTCATTAATGGTTTGGTATCTTGAGAATTTGCCCGTGTGTACTACATGGTGTTTGGATGTAGCAGAAAGAGCCAGTGGCTGGGCTGGTTCTAACAGAGACTTTTATTATCATTGTGAACAACTCAGCTAGCCACGCCCTGTCATTTACTAAAAGTGGTATCTCAGAGGAATAATTTAAATCAGCAATAAAAATGAACTGTATACCCGTGGAAATGTCACCAGTGGCATCTTCTCTTACACACAGTTCTTTACCAGTTTCTGTGCCTCACAGGCAATAGGGAACATTTATAGTTACTTAAAGCCAACCAAGGGCTGATTGCCTTCTTTTAATCAGTTAAAGAGGTGGGTGTGGTCAGACAAGAACAGGGTAAGAAGAGAGCAGGAAGAGGGTGGTGGAGCGCCCCCCCCCCCCCGCCCACCTCAGGGAGAAGGAAGCATCAGTGTCACAGTATCATCCCTGAGAGAGCAGGAAGATGCTAAACCTGCAGGGACAGAGAAACTGGCAGCGGATCAGGAACTGTGGGATGGTTACGGTATTTAAATATTGCACAAGTGCTGTGGGTTTTAGTTGACAGTATGCCCCACCCCATTCAACAATGTGATGTGACTGCTGCAAACAACTATTTTGATATTTTGAGCTATGCTAATAGGAGCATAGGACGCAGAAAGAGGTGGCAGTTTCTCTCCTCTCTGAACTCAACGGACACCTGGTTTCCTTCCTGAACTCTAGACACGCTGAGAGGCATCACCCAGAGCCCCTCGACATGTGGGTGAGTGGGGTCATAATCATGTCATGTAAGGAACAGCCTAAGGGACAGAGAATGTTTGTCCTGGGTAGCCTGAATTAGAGTCAGGCCTGATCTGCAAGTTCCCTGGTGGGTAGAAACACAACTCAATGAGGAGGAGATACAGGGAGCTGGACTTCAGCTCTCAGGGTAGGAAGAACTTCTCAACAAGGCTGATGAAGGATAAAATGGCTACTTTCAAAGGAAGTGAGTTCCTGGTTTCTGGAGGTATTCATCTATGGCCATTTGGTGGGAGGGTGTTGTAAGGGAGACTCAAACAACCGGAGGGGTGTGGGTACCCTTCTCTAGTCCCTAGAATCAATGATTCTAGTAGTAAGATGCTCTGGTGTGCCCTGAACATCACCTCTGCTTTGCAGAGACATGGGTAGACATTCATTCAATATCACCTATTGTCAGGCACTGTGCTTGGTGAACATGGAAGTACAGTGTAGTAATTGTCAGAGTCAGAACAAAGAGGCTTCAGAGAGAGTTGTCCAGGTGCAGCACTACTGACTGTGTTAAAAACCTCAGTCATGGGGAAACAGTGGACTCATTTTCTTCATTAAGAAGACTCACTAAGTGCCAAATAAACTCTCCCTACCACTGAATGATGGAGTACCAGGATGTAGCATTCGTGTCTGTTAGTTGTCATGGTTCACCACTTTCAGTTTCTTGGGGGGATGGAGAAAGGCACCAGGAGAGAAGGGGGTGAGAAGGGTGCAAGGCAGTAGGGCAAATAGACTTCGAGATGACTATTCACTTGTGACTCTACACTGACACCCTTGGGTGTAATTATTCAACTTTGGGTATAGCATTGACTAAGCTTTTTACAGCAAGACCTGCAAACAGGCAATTGACTGGTGGACCTACTCTGGGTTGTGCAAGAGACTAGACGCTGGGGAGCCCAAAACGGATGAGACAAGATCCCTGCCCCGAAGAAGGTGGTAGGAGCGCTTCCAGCCCAGGGGGCAGGTCAGATCCGGTGGGCTAAGGGCTTCAATAGAAAAAAAGTCTGTAGAGCGTGCTAAGGGCTGCGTCCCCGTTCACTGCCCTGAGCCGGACAGGACGGGGTTCCTCTGAGAGCTGCGGGTGGAGAAGTCACAGCGGCACCACCTCCCCGCACGGTTAGCCCGTGAAGCACCCCACAGGGTTCGAACCTGAGGCCCAACCTTCTGTCTGTCGAGAGGCTGGGGACTCAGGCTGCAGGCCAGCAAGTGCAGGCGCGCGCCCCAGCCTCCGTCCTACCCCCCAGCCCCCACTGGCGCGTGCGCGCGGCCCGGGCGCCTGCACTGCGCGCGCGCGCAACCCCGCGTGGGGCCCGGCTCCGGTGCGCGCGGAGGCGGCAGGAGGGAGGGGCTCGCGGAGGTCCGGCCCGGCGGGAGGCTCCGCGGCTGCCACCGGAGACGGGCTCCGGGCCGAGGAGCGCGCCTCTCGGCCTTTCGTCCGCGCCCCCGCGTTCCCAGCCCGACGTCCCGAGAACCCGAGGAGGCAGGTGGCGCGGGAGCGCGCGGGGGCTCCAGGCCGGGTGGGCGGGGGCGCGGGTGCCCGTGGGGCGGTTGGCGGTTCCGGGAGGGCAGCGCGCGCGGAGGCGCTGGGGGCACTGGGAGCCGGGCGGCTGCCTCCAGTGGGCGCCGGTGTCGCCGGCTCCCGGAGGCCTCCCTGGGGTGGCGTGGCCCACCGGCTAGGATGTGGGTTCTCGTTTCCATTCCTACACGATGGTTTAACTTTAGCATGAGGCCGTGCGGCGTGGACGGGCCGGCACGGCGGCGGAGCTCCGGGGCTCCAACCTCGACCGCCCGGCTCCCTGGCAGTGCCCGGCTCCCTGGCAGTGCCCGGCTCCCTGGCAGTGCCCCGCGCGGTGTGCTGCGTGCTGTGCTCCGCCCTCTCTCGAAACGGGCCTCTTCAGGTCTCCCCTTGCTTATTAAATCGTTTAAGAAACCTTTTGGCAGTGGAAATTCAAAACTAAACCAAATGACTTTGCTTCCAGCCTTTTGCTACCCCGAGATGCCTTAATTCGAAATCGTGGTAATTGGGACATTTGGAGAAACACTTGCGCTGAGACCTGTCCTAAACCGAGTGGTGGTTTAGACCTCATCCTTGTGGATTAGACTGATGGGTTTATAATATCAGCTTTCTTTTAAATTAGATGTCAGGTGTTCATTCATGCAGAGACTGCACAGGCAATTTGGATTTAAACTTTGTTTGAGACAATGTTTTGATATGTATCAGAGGATGATATTCTCATGGGATAACAACTTGCTCTGTGCGCCCAGGTAAATTGCGGTTCATATTGTGGCAATATTATAGCATAAATCGTACCTTTGAAATGTTCCAGCCCTCTTCGCTGAAACATCCCCCGAATCCTTGAATATACTTCACCTTCACATTGCCGTTTGCCGTGTAGGTATCTTCTGCACAAGTTAAGTCGTCCAGCTGGCATAGCACTAGGCGCAGGAGAGGCAACAACTATGGAGGGAAAACAGAGAATGGAAAATTGCAGAAGTCTAGCTTTGTGCATTTTTATGTTGCAAAACCTTCCTGGTTCTGTGTTATTTTGCTCACATAAATATGCATTTAAAAAATACTTTCATTTGAGCCCTGGCCGGTTTGGTTCAGCGGTTAGAGCGTCAGCCTGACGTCCTGAGAGACCCGGTTCCGTTCCCCCTAAGGGCGCATACCTCGGTTGCAGTTTGTCCCCGGCCCTGGTCGGTTGTGTGGGTGGCAGCCACTCGATGTGTTCCTTTCACGTCGATGTTTCTCTCTCTCTCTCTCTGTTCCTCTCTCTCCCTCCCACTCTACCTGAACAAAAAATGGAAAAATGTCCTGGGGTGAGGATAAAAAAAAAAACAACTTTCATTTGATATGGAATCCCTGGGCTGTAAGATTGGATCTTGAAATGTAGTGAATATGTTATTTCTATTTTATAGAAGAGTTGGCACATAGTATATTAGTTGTGGGATTTATTTCAGACATTTCAGATCACCAGATACAGTTCCCACCAGAAGGGCCTTTTTAAAAAGTGATATTTATGGTGTCTTTTATTGTTTATAACAACTCCAATTTTGAAACGTGCTGGTGATCTTTATGTTACAGTATCAACTCTTTCTCCCTGTTTAAACCTACAGATATCTAGGTACTTTTAGGCTTATTGTTCCCTTGTTAATTGTCCCATGGTTAATTATAATTAACCATGTTATGGGCTTGCTTAGTTTGTTAGTCTTAGTTTTTGTTTGTTGGTTTTGTTTTAGGCATCTATGTATGTTTCTCATCTGGACTTTGAGCAGCCCAGTTTTCCTTCAGTGATGCTCAGTAGAACTTTCCACAATGAGGGAAGTGTTCCTTCTGCAATGTTCACTGTGGCAGCCACTGGCCACATGTGGCCTTTGAGCATGTGTATGGGGCTAGAGAAATGGAGGAACTGAATTTTTAATTTGATTTAAATAACCAATGTAACTAGAAGCTACCTGCTTGGGCCCCATGGCTTTAAATTATTAGCCCCCCAGGAGGTCTCCCCTGGCCCTCTTGAGTCCAGCACTTGTTACGGTTGTACAGTAATTACAGCTTTCTTGTAGGAGTCTGACACTAGGCTATAATCTACATGAGGGCAAGGACTTACCTATTTTCTTTACCTTTGCTATACCCAGCCTAGGATTTAGTAAGACACACTCTAAGTTTTTGTTGAAGGACTCAGTAAACTCCTGGAGGGCAGGTACCTTTTATGTTCTCTCTAGGGCCTAGAGAGAACGAAGTACCAAATATTGCAAATCTCTGCTTAGTGACTGAACAGACTGCATATAAATGGATTGTTGGAGATATATTTTAAATGCTTATTTTGGTTGGAATACATTTTTTGGACTCTTTTGAGGACTCATGAGAAAATACCGTATGAAGTTGAATGAAAGGGCCTCATGATTCCAGCTTGTGTGGTCACAGCTTGGGTTTCCTGTTAGTTGAGTACCTCAGGGATGCTGCCCTTAAACCACATTCCATACATCTTTTGGCCTTAGGTTCCTTAGTGAGGCCCTAACCGGCCTTCAACTCCTCTGAAGAAGTCAGTGGGCCTCTCCACGCACCACCACTCAGTGTTAGGGCAAAGGCCAGGAATCCCTGAGAAATCATGAGATATTATAGCCACGTTACAAGATGCTTTTGCTCAGAGCTGATTTGGGGTGGTGGAGTAGGGTGGGATTCATACATCACAGTTTGGGGAATTTGAATCTACTTATTGCCTCTGCTATGTACACAGTTAATTATGGCCAACTTTTTTTTTTTTTTTAAATCTCAAGACGTACTGTGTATAACCCGTTATCACCAGTTAACCATAGTAGGATTTGAAATGGAAGTGTGTACTCTATTCAGGTCAGTATATTTCTGAGTTTGACCAATATTCCCAGGTGTCATGGATCTTTACATCTGAAATTGCTTTAGGGAAAGGATTTGAAGAACATACAAAAGTTTTAGAGATGTATAGTTTTTTTTGGTGAGACAAAAGGTAGAATGTTGGGGTTTTCCTGAAGGAAAGGAAATGGGACTGGAAAAAAAATGCAATAAATACAAAAATACAAAAAATGTTCACTCCCTTGGTTAGGTAATATTATAGCTTCTCCGAGCTCGAAGTAGCTAATGTCTAAAATGACGAAGTTGATTACATTGTGTTGAGTGAACCATCTTTCCACCTTGAATCTAGGACTTGCCTATTTATCAGGTATGTGTAAGCCACTGACCTGACTCCTGTAGCAGGCGAGAGCTGTGTAAGATGGTTCTTTAAGAATCTCAACAGTGTACAACGAAATGAAAGGTTCTTTGGGGATCGCTTTTAAAAAAACATTTTTGAATGGAAAATACAGTATTTGAAAAGGAAATTTGAAAGGTAGTTGCTCTTAACCAACTCAGAAAGATAACCACTTAATCACTTTCCTGAAGAATTACAAGTATTAAAAAACATGACTGAGTCTCAAAGTGTGATTGTAGTCAGGTTAATCTTCCTAGAACACAGCTTGAACCGTAGGATACTCTCCTTTTACATAATCAGTGGTTTCCCAGTGCTTATGGAATTAAATGGTTCGGTCTTTGATCAGGTATTGAAAGTACTCCTGAGTAGAGCCCTAAAAAACCATTCCAGCCGTACCTCTCGCAGTTTTCCTGGATGAAGCGTGCATTTCAACCTACTGTTCCTTTAAAGTGCTCTCCCTTTTAAATTTCTGCCTACTCGACTTTTAAGACCCATCCTAGGTGATGTCTTCTTCATTGCACCATTTCTGATTCTCAGGAGCTGCCATAGAACATGTTCCTTGTACTTATGTTATGGAACAAAACCCATTCTGGTTCCATCATCTACAGTAATTAGTGCTATTTTGTTCACCCTAGTAGATTGTAAGCATGGACCTTCTGTTACTCATTTTCATATTTTCTGAAACATCTAAAATAGTGTAGTGCCTTGTATATAGTGGTTACATATTTATTAAATTTTATTTCTGTTCCTGGACTTTAAAAGTAGCTTCATGCTCTGCATGGAATATTTTGTCCAAACTTACTGCCAAACACACAGAGGCCAACAGGTAGAAATCCCGAGTTACTTCCACACTGAGAAGCTACCCTGTTGAAGGAGGGCCGTCTTTGTGGTGTATGTTACTTTTTGGAATTGATAGTATTTAAGGAAGATCACCATGCCAGTTCCTTGTTATTTTCCTATTTATGTAGCAAGGTTAATGTCAAAACAATTCAAAGTATTGGGTGACAAGTAATTCTAGCATCCATGAAAACTTGAAAACCTTTAACATAGTAACACTGAACTAGGTTATTTAATATATAATAATATCTATGTCCTTACAAACATGTACCTAATGAGAAAAAAGAAAGCATTTTTTTTTAAAGTGATTACTTATGCTCTCCCATTTCCTGCTAGTATGCAGCAAACCCGTGAGTCGAGTTGGAAAGGACCGGTTATCGCAGAGAGGTGACTGTCTCCTTAGAGAAGGGTGGTGATGGCGAAGATGATCGAGTTTGATATAGGGTTGGTTAACCAAGTATAACAGAGCACACATTGAGAAATATCTAGCATGGCATAATCTGCTAGAGTAAGCTCTACTTTTACTTATCCTGTTCTTTCTACTGAAATAGACTAAAAATCATGTTCATTTGGTTCTACGATGTGGTTTTTTGCTTATATTTAAAAAACAGATACAGAGAGTCATAATATTTCATACTTTAAAGATCTGACGTAAAAGAAATTGGAAGATTTTTGTCCTCATGGTTCAGTTTTACTAACATTTTCTCTGCTTTCCCCATCATTTCTGATGTGTGGGCTTGGGCCACACCCGTCTCATTTAGAGCAAATGTATTCAAAGCACTCATATTGTCTGGGAAAGAGGTAATTGCAATGATGTGGTTTAAAAGGCATGGCCTCCCATCTTCTGCTAGGATGGACTAAACAGGCTGTGTGCATGTTAAGTGGAACCACATCAGTAAGCTCTTAGATTTGTACGAGTGGTGTAATTAACTTGCCCTTAAGTTTTCTGGGATGTCAGGAAATACGGTAATGAGAGTATCCCAAACTAGATCGTTTTCATATGAAGAATGCATGAGCTATTGGATGACAATGACATAACCTGTGTTAGATTCCATGAGACGTTAAAGATCCATTGACAAGAGATGGTATCTGTGAGTCAGGAAAATGTCACCCATTTAGATGAGCTCAGCATTTAAAATATGTTTTCACCTGTTATTGGGAAATACTACTCCTGAGCGTTGTCTAGAAAGATTACATGTGCTGCTGACTCTAGAAGCAACGTGTATGAAGCAAACAACAGTTTGCTAGAAGTAAGTTTCCCCCCCTTCCTCTCTAAAAGAGATTCTTGAAGGTCGAAGTTGAAAATGTCAGTAAGTGTGATGTGAAAAGAACCCAGGCGTTTTGTGATTAGAGGCAATCACTCGAAGTTGCATCCAGAAGTAACAGATGTACTTTCTCTTCCCTCTCATTAAAGGTGGCTTTCTAGAAGATGACCATAGAGGACCTTCCGGATTTCCCATTAGAAGGAAGTTCTTTGATCGGAAGATTCCCTTTTTTCCTCTCAGGCCCTGACACGCCAGTGATCTTCTCTGTCTCTGCAGCACCCATGCCTTCCGACTGTGGTATGTTCAGTAGCTGTTTTTAATTTCTGGGAACTGGTAACTTGACTTCTGTCTCATGCCTTTTTTACACTCATAATTTTCCTGAAGCAATTTACTGTGGTTTTCATAAAATTACTCAAGTTTTTCTTTTTCAAAAATACAATAGCTTTTTCTGCCTCTTAAACGTTTTATTTTTGCTGTCAGCATTTTTATTATTTAAAATGTTCATTTTATGCACCATGATGGATTTAGAGGAGCTTATTTTTAGAATGCAGTGGAGCTTAGACATCTAGCACCCTTCTTTGATTTATGTATTTATTTTGGTTAAATATACCGACTTGTTTAAAAAGCCATATAGTAAACAAAATGACGCAGAAGCACTGTTAGCTGCCCATCTCTAGGGGCCCTGTTGTCTCTGAAATGCTAGAATTCTAATGAACACAGTAAATCATCACTCTTGAAATGATCCAACTTGGCTGACAATGTAACACGTTTTAGTACACAAGCAAGCCTAATTTGGACCCTGCCTCAATCATCATTGATAATTGTAATTATCAATGTATACACAAATAAAATATAGAAAAAAGTAAAAAAAAAAAAAGCAGAGAGGGAATGATATTGGTTCATGTTTAAATGGGTTCATTTAAATCTCCTGGTAAAATATAAATTTAGAAGTATTCTAGTTTTTATCTATTTAGACATATTTTCCCAAGACCATATTTGATCAGATAGTTGATAAAAGAAAACCAGGAGAAAAGAAAGAAAGCCAGGAGATAAATTTGATAGATTTGTTACATTTCTTATTCAGAGTTTTTCAAGTAAAATATCGAGTCATCATTTCAAATCATCTTTGGAGGTAGAGATAATGTAGTTTTTAAGTATTAGTAGATATAAAATTATTGGATTGGGAATTTGTCTCTTTAGTCATATCCATTCTAATAACTATTTATGTCCAAGTATGTTCTTTTTATGTGTTCCGATTCTGTAGTGGCTTACCTTGAGATCATCACGAGTATTACATAAAACCTGTGCCTAGATCCTGGGGGTTTTGCAGCTTTTATCCAAATTAACTGGGTTTATTGTCAGATGTAACAAAATCAGTTGTATGGGAGAAACCTTGAACTAAAGTACTTTGTATGCTGCTTATGGCAACATAACTCTAATTCTACCTTGAGTCATAATTGTCTTAGTTCCTTTCCTAGACTGTAAGTCTGTGGGATAGGGTAGGAATCATGTTTTGTTTTTGTTGCTCTCATTAGGGCTAATACAGTCATTTATTGATACTAGTTGCCCAGTCTGTGTTTGTTGAATAAATACAATGAATGAAAGATGATAATGGATATTGACCCCTTTGTATAACTGAAATTAAACATTACCTATGTTCTAAGAATTATAGATTCTTAGAGTCTGAAGGGACCTATCTGTTAACTTTCTTTACTTTCCAGCGTAGAAATTCTAATTTTAGGGTCTCTGACAGATAACCATTTAGCCACTTAGATATCTTCAACAGTGGGAAATGAAGGAACTACTATTTCATTGTTAAAAGCTTTAGTTGTGATAAAAAGGCGTTTGAATGTGGACTCAACATATGTCTCCTTGAAACTTTGGTCATCTGGGACTAGTTTGACATATGGCACACACACTTCTTCATATGTCAGCTTTCAAATATTGGAAGATAATTTGGATATTTTTACTTACTCTGTACTTCCTTAGAGCACACATTTCTGGTTCCTTCAGCAGTCCCTCACTGTCACGATTTCTAGACCCTTTTTATTCAAATTGTTTTCTTCTTAGTATGCTGTAGTCAGTATCCCCTTAAAAAGTGACCCCCAGAATTGTGTTTATTATTTATTGAGGGTCTGTTATGGGCTAATTGCTGTCTTAGAGGCTGGAGATAGCACAGTGACCAAGACAGATGTTCTGGAAGGGACAATGGCAACAGACAAACAAATGAATGAACAAAATATAAATATTATAAATGAATTGTGTGGAGGAAAGAAACAGGGTGAGTGACCGGATAATGGGGCAGAGTGGCTATTTTAGATGGGGTGGTCATCTGCAGAAGCAGAAGAAGCTGGTTGCGAGAAGAGCCTGCAGAGAAGTGTTCCAGGCAGAAGAATGAGAAATTAAAGGGGAAAAGCTTGGGTATATCCTGAGAATTAATGGAAGGCCCCTGTGGCTGAGAAGCAGAGTGATTGAGGGCAGGGTGGCAGGGGATGAAGCTGGAAAGGAAAGCAGGATCGCAGGCCTTGGTAAGGAATCTGTACTTTATACTAAGTGCCATTGGAACCATGAAAATGAGGGTGAAGCCAAGAAACAAAAACAAACCGGCTCACACAAACCAGGGCTTAGACAGCGCATTGTTGACTCTCAGGATGGTTACCCTGCAAAACTACATTCTGTCCTCATGCAAAGATTTTCCGTCTTTTGCTTTGAATGCTTTCAGAGCCAGTTTACACATGTTATATATATATTATAACCCCCACAATACAATACATTGTTATTGTTATTGTTTTTGCTTAAGCAGTGAATCATCTCTTAAAGAGATTCAAGTAATAACAAAATATTTGGTTATGTACTTACAAGTCCTGTGATTTCATCCCTTTGTGCAGATTCAGAGTTCCATCTGATACCATTTTCCTTCTGCCTGAAGGGCTTCCTTTAACATTTCTTGTAGTGCAGGTCTGTTGGTGAGGAGTCCTTTTAGCTTTCATGGGTCTGAAATCATCTTTATGTTACCTCTTTTGAAAAATATATTTGCTGGGTATAGAATTCTAGATCAATAGATTTTTCTTTCAGTACTTATAAATGTTGCTCCTTATCTTCCCACTTACATTGTTTGGACAGGAAATATGTCACTTTTGTTTCTCTATATGTAATGTTCTTGGCTGCTTTTAAGACTTTCTATTGTTAGTTTTGAGCAATTTGACTGTTTTGGTGTGATTTTCTTTATATTTTGTGTTTGGAGTTTGTTAAGCTTCTTGGATTTGTGGGTTTAAGGTTTCATCAAGTTTGGGTAATCATTGTTCATTCAAATATTTTTTCACCCCCCCCCACCTTTAGCATTACATGAATATTAGACCACTTGATGTTGTCCCACAGCTTACTGACACTTTGTTTATATTTTAAAAATTATTTTCTTCTTTGTTTCATTTTGGATAGTTTCTGTTGCTATGTCTTTAAGTTTATTACTCATTTATTCTATGCTGTCTAATCAGCTCATGATCTCATCCAGTGTAGTTTCCATCTCAGATGTAGTTTCTCATCTCTGAAGTTGGATTTAGGTTTTTTATATTATCTGTGTCTTTATTTAACCTTCTGAACATTTGGAATATAGTTATCATGTTCTTTCATACAGTTTAATGTTCTTTTCTGTTAATTAAAATATTTGTGTCAACTCTAAGTCTTTTTAAATTAATTATTTCCCCAATTATGGGTCACATATTTCCCTGTCTTTGCATGCCTGGAAATCTTTGATTGGATGCCAGACATTGTGAATTTTGCCTTTTTGAGTGCTGGATATTTTTGTGTTCCTATAAGTATTCTTGAATTTTATTCTGGGGTGCTGTTAAGTTACTTGGAAATAGTTTGATCCTTTCAGGTCTTGCTTTTATGGTTTGTTAGGTGATTCTGGAGGATGCTCATAGGGGACTAGTTATTTTTTACTGTGGAGTGCTCTCCTCAATGCCATGTGAAATTTTTTTCCAGTCTTTTGGTGGGAACAGGCACGGTTCTAGGCCCTTTATGAACGCTGGGCACTAACCCATCTAACCCTTTTGGACTGTTCTCTCCCTTACTTCAGGTGTTTCCTCACAAGCTTATGTTACATACTCGAGGGAGACCCTCTGCAGATCACCGAGATTCTCTTGCTGTGTGTCTCTCTTCTCTCTGAAGCTCTGCTGTGCTCTCTAGCTGCCTTGGGCTGTCAGCTCTGTCTCCTCAACCCAGGGAGTCTGTTGGGCTTTTTCTTAGTTTCCTTTTCTCTTTGTTACACATGGAAACCCTTAAGGCAGAAACCTGGAGCAATTAAAATACCTTGTTTATATCCTGTCTCTTAGGGATTCACTATTTTTTGTTGCCTGATGTCCAGTGTCTTGAAAACTGTGTTTCATTTATGTCCTTTGTTTCTTCCCCCCCTCTTTTCAGGTGGAAAGGCACCTCTCATCCCCAGAACTCCATTTTGACTTAAAGCAGGACTTCCTCCCCATTCACCCACCCCCACTTTTCTTTTGATTAAATTTTTTTCTCGCTGTATGGAAGATTAAAATTCAGGTGTAGTTATAGTTGTTCATATGCAGTATAGTGTAGAGGTTAAGATTATATGTCAGCCTTGCTTTAATCCTCACTCAACCACTTAACAGTTGTGTGATCTTGGGCATATTACTTATTTTTTCTATCCCCTTGTTTCTGTTTTGATCAAATGGGACAAATAATACCTACCTCATATGTTGTTAAGAGGATGAAATAAAGGTAATTCATGTAAAGTATAAGCGTAGGGCAAAAGTAGGCTTGCAGTTGTTTGTATGTAAAATAATACAATAATTAACAAGTAATAATACAAGAATAAACTTTGTGTTTCACATACAACTGTAAACTTGCTTTTGCCCAACCCTGTATATAACAGTCCCAGGCACCTACTGAGCACTTAATAAGTATAGCTTATTACGATTATTATTTAAATGATTCTGCTAGTTGCTATTACCCTAGTATATAATTACTGAAGTATTTTACATGCTTCAGTATTTATTGAGCTAACCATTAGTCTTCTTTGTTCAAGCATTCTTTCTTATTTCTCTTCCATTCATTTTCTAGATCTTTGCTAGTCACAGTGTGATTCTTAGTCTAGTAGCATCGGCATCACTGGGGGCTTGTTAGAAATGCAGTCTCAGGCCCCACCTGAGACTTACCTGCATTCGAACCTACATCATAACATGACCCCTAGGTGATTCCTGTCTACATCAGTGTTTGAGAAGCTCTGGCACAGAGGAGCAGTAGAATAATTTTGTCTGTCTCTTTCTACAAATAAATCCTGGTGAGATTTTGATTAGAATAAACATTATTTTAAATAATATTCTTGGGAAAATTGATAGTTTTCAATATTTTATCTTCCAATGCAGGGGCTTAATGTGTCTCTCTACATTTAAGTCCACCCCACCCACCTTCAGTTTTCTTTAAATAAGCCTCATAAATTTATTGGCATGTTTGTTACTTTTATTGTTATGGTGTATTGGTTTTTCCCACTGTATTTCATTAAAAAAATTTTTTTTTCTTTATTGATTTTTAGAGAGAGAGAAAGGGAGAGGGAGAGAGAGATAGAAACATCGATGAGAGAGAACATTGACTGGCTGCCTCCTGCATGCCCCCCACTGGGGATCGGGCCCACAACCTGGGCATGTGCCCTGACCGGGAATCAAACCAGTGACCTCTTGGTGCATGGGTCGATCGATGCTCAACCACTGAGCCACACCGGTCAGACCTATTGTATTTCATTTTTAAAAAATAGGAAATCATTTACAAATGCAAGAAACAGTGATAGCAAAAATGTATGTCACACATATCCACCATCAGAATGAACAAATATTAGCATTTAGTTATATTTCTTTTAGCTCTTTTTTTTTTTATTAATTAAAAGAAATAAAACTTTAAGATAAAGTTGAAGTTTCCTCCGTTTTCCTTTCTGATCCTATTCCTCTTGCTTCCCAGAGGTAACTACTATTTTATATTTAGGGTGAATACTCCCAACCATATTATTATACTTTTATTACGTATATGAGTGTCTATAAACAATATGCAGTATTGTTTTGTGTGTTTGTAATTTATATAAATGCTAGATATTGTATATTATTCTTCAACTTAATTTATTGATCATTGTATTTTGAGACCTAGCTTGATAAATTCATGACTTAGATGTCTAATTTATTTACTTAGTTGTGAACTTACTCTCCATGACATATTTATGTTTTTAGAGGTGAAAATATTGATAAAACTTGACAAATTTTATCTGCCTTAGAAATTATTTTTGGAAAGTTCGGGGTTTGCGATCAGGGTCTGTGCACTTCCGTTTTTGTTTGGTCTGCGATAGAGTGTGTTACGGTAAATCGAAGTCTCATTCTCATGGCCATTCAGGAGTGCCTTGTGGTTTTGGGCAATTTGACTCTGTTTGAGAATTGCTTAAGGTACAAACCTACTTTTTCTAACATCTAAAAATATTTGTATCATTTAAGCCCTGGTCCTCTTCTTATTTTCAGTATATTTATTTGCAACTTTTAATCAATTTAATTTACACCTTTTTTATTTCAGAGTTTTCTTTCTTTGATCCTAATGATACATCATGTCAGGAAATTCTCTTTGATCCCAAAACTTCTGTATCAGAATTATTTGCCATTTTAAGACAGTGGGTTCCTCAGGTCCAGCAAAACATCGACATTATTGGCAATGAGGTAAGGAATGATTACATTTTAAGTTTTGCATCGTTAGGATTGTTAATCACATAGCCCCCCCCCCGACCCCCCCAGCTAAGTGGAAAGCTGGTGATGAAGGGGAGACCTTTTAAAGAGCCTGATGTTTCTTCTTTGTATTTCCAGGTTTTTCATGGAGCAGTGACTTAGTCCTAAAACTTCTTTCCATTATTCCCTCATGCTCCTCACTTCCTTACACCTGGAATTCTGACGTTATAGACTCTTCATAGGAGCAGGCATTTTTTACATTTTCCTTCTTGTACAAATTAATTTTGTAAACTTTAAAAAAATCTTTCACGGGAGTATTTAATTACTGTCATGTTTCATCTGTACTTTTGGGTAGTTTATTAAAGATCTAGGCTTAAATATAATTTAAAAATACTTTTTGAAGGCAGAATGAAAGCATAACTGGGCTCCTTGACCCAGCATATTTTCATATTGTAGGAAGAGAAAGCTTGCATTTGTTTCAGATACCGTCATGCCCATTAGATAGACCATTTTGCTTACTCTTTGAGAGGTTAAGAAACGTATTTGGAGTGCTAGACTACCTTATAATACTCTTTAAAACTTTCCTTCAGTCTGTTGACAAGTTCAGTTTCCATTATTGCCGGGTGCAGATGAAAAACCCGTCCTCAAGAGAAGCAGTCTGTCCACACATTCTACTGAGGACTGATCCAGATCTGATGGACGCCCCTGGTTGCCCAGCATCGGTTTGAAATCAACTGACTTCAGTAGTCATGTTGTAATCATCTGTCTCTTCCCTGTTTCCTCAGATTCTTAAGAGAGGTTGCAATGTGAATGACAGGGATGGATTGACAGATATGACTCTTTTGCATTATACTTGCAAGTCCGGAGCTCATGGTATTGGTAAGTATGTGGCAAATCTGTTAATTGCTTAGAACATCTGTATTGGTGCGTATATAAGCTTGTCTGTGTCTACCATAGTCCCTGGGAGAACACCTAGCTCTGATGAGGATATTCCCTGAACAGGTGAGGATTCAGTTCGGTTCTTCCAGAAACCTTGTTCCCTTTTCTCAAGGTGGTCTTAACAGCCTCCAGGCACCTCCCAACCTTTCTGGACACCGGCTCAGTTTTCCAGGCGACCCAGGCTTCAGGCCTAAGGTCTGTTTCTACACACATAACACGTGTTCATATTTTCCAAAACGAGTCTTCTCCTTTGCTTTACCATTGTAAAAGCCTGCCTCTGTTATTTAACTGTTGTGACCATCTCTCTGTGTTTTAATAGTCTGATATCTGCTTCTTAAACAATTAATGGCGAAGGACTCTTTTTTTTTTTTTACAATCTGTCAGGGACTGATACTTTTATAAAATAAAATAAAAATAAAGTTATAATAGAAAAATGACCCTGGCTGGGTAACTTCAGTTGGTTAGAGCGTTGTCCTGATTCGCCAAGGTTGTGGGTTTGATCCCTGGTCAGGGCACATACCAGAGGCAACCAATGAATGCATAAATAAGTGGAACAATAAATCGATGTCTCTGCTCGCTCGCGCTCTCTCTCTCTCTCTCTCTCTCTCTCTCTCTCTCTGTCTTTACCTCCCTCTCTTCCTCTCTAAAAAATCAAGAACTAAAAAAGAAAAGTGAAATAAAGACATAAAATACAAGCCCAAATATTTTTCAAAAGGCATAAAATGACATTTTAATGAATATATTCATAAGAAATGATTACATAGGAAAAAAGGAAAGGGTTATAAAAAGCACAAACAAATTATAGTTCGGGGCCGACAATGGGCCCACACTCGGAGCCCCACTGGTCCGGTGCATCAGTTTTACTGGCTTTGTAGTATTCCATTCTGTGGATGCCTCATCATTTATTTAACCAGTTTCTCATTATTGTGCTTTTAGGTTGTTTCAGAATTTTATTCATAATAAAAAGTGCTTTGATGAACAGCACTGTGTTTATCCATATCCATGAGTATGTTTCTTTTCTTAGACTAAATTCCTTGCAAGTGAAATTTTTAAGTTAAGTGTATATTCAGTATATACTGTTTGCTTTGGCTTTTTAAATGAGGTAGTGGATAGCCATCCATTGGAACTCAAATTTGTACTGAAGAAAAATAATTTAGAAAAACCTTCCTTAGGTGATGTTGATACAGCTGTAAAATTTGCAACTCAACTTATTGATCTGGGAGCAGACGTTAGTTTGCGGAGTCGCTGGACAAATATGAATGCTTTACATTATGCTGCTTATTTTGATGTTCCCGAACTTGTAAGAGTGATTTTGAAGACATCTAAACCAAAAGGCAAGTACTATAAGATCGCCATTAGAAGTTATTAATTGAACATTTCATTAGTGGCATAAAAATGATGATTCAAAGAGATGTTCCCCCTTCTGATCCATTGTGTACTACATGACCTTTCATCTCATTTAAAAAAATAGTTTTTCTGTTTTTAAGATTAATTGCTATCCTTTCATGAAAAGGCTTAGTACAAAGAGATACAAAATAAAAAGTGTTCTCTAGGTTTTTATATCTCTGCAAAATTTCCAGTGTGATACGGATTTTATAAAGTGTAATTGAATCTTTGTGCTAAAGAATTCTTTTGTCTTACTTGAGTAGCCAGAAATAGAGCAATAAAACCTTCAGAGCAAAGCATTGAAATCATAAAGAGTATTTATTTTAGGTGTAATCAGTTCTGAAATTCTGTGATTCTGTGAAAGGACAAAGATTTTTTTTTTTTTTTTTTATCTTCCTGTCTTGGGGTTGATATCCTAAACTTGATCATCAGACTACCTAAATTATAGTCCTAGTATTTTGACTATTCCTCTGGTCCTCTGAGGGGGTCAGTTTTCTTTTGAGAAAAATATGGGAGCACGTGCGGTAGTGTTGAATTTAAGTTAAAGGTAGTGTATGGTGTTTCCCCAGTTTTAGAAGACTTGCTTTAGAGATTCAATAGATAAGTTTTCCAGCATGTTTGTTTCTAACCTGCTGTGTATAAATGTCCATTTTCTCTTTAACTTTTACCTTTTTGCTTTTTGAATAACGTTAGGAGGAAAGCCTCTCGTGATAGCACAGTACCTTTAATGACTCAGGAGACTTTGTGTCGAGCACATCCTGGTGGTTTTTAGTTGTAGGTAAGGCATGTGGTGTGGTGTGATTAAATTAACATAGGATGGGCAGAACCAGAGGTACATTAAACCCTTGTAACAGCAAAAATTCAATATGGAAAACAGTATGGAGTTTCCTCAAAAAATTAAAAATTGAACTGTTTGATCCAGTGATCCCACTTCTAGGAATATATCCTAAGAAACCTGAAACACTAATCAGAAAGGATACATGCACCCCTATGTCCATAGCAGCACTATTTACAATAGCTGAGATCTGGAAACAGCCCAAGAGCCCATCAGTAGATGAGTGGATAAAAAAGCTGTGGTACATTTACACAATGGAATACTATGCAGCTATAAAAAAGAAGGATCTTTTATCCTTTGAGATAGCATGGAGGGACCTGGAGAGTATTATGCTAAGTGAAATAAGCCAGTCAAAAAAAGACAAGTATCACATGATCTCACTTATATGTGGAATCTGACGAACAAAATAGGCCCAGCGGCATGGAAGCAGGGCACAGAATGACAGATCTCAGAGGGAAGGCAGGGTAGGGGTGGAGTGGGGAGGGGTGGGAAGAGATTAACCAAAGAACTTATATGCATATATGCATAGACCAAGGGGACAGATGATAGTGTGGTGAGGGCCTGGGGTGGGGATGGAACTGGGTGGAGGGGAACGATGGGGGAAAAATGGGGACATATGTAATACTCTCTACAATAAAGATAAACAGACAAACAAAATGAACAATTAAAATGGGATTCTCAAACCTGGAGGATTTCCTGTGTCTAAATATAGCAGCATGATGATTTATTGAAAGTTAATAAAGTGTCCTTAGAATTGCAAGATTTCTTTTCTTATTATGAAGTCCAAATTCATTTGTTTAATAAAGTATTATGAATGAGTACTGTATGTAGGCATTTATATTTTTAAGTAGTTTTTAACTTCTCCCTGGTGTGAAAATTCTGCAGTTTTACCTACCAATTTTATTTATTTATTTTGGCGAAGGGTCAGATAGTAGATATTTGAGGCTTTTTATGGTCTCTGCTGCAACTACCCGATTCTACAGTTGTGGCATGAAAGTAGCCATAGAGAATATGTACATGAATGCATATGGCTGTGTTCCAATAAAACTTTATTTACAAAAACAGATGGTGCGTTTGATTTGGCCCATGGGCCACTGTTTTCTGGGCCTGACCTAAACCCTGCTGCCTCACTGTAGTCGTCATGGCAAACAGATGAGAGGTTTAATGAGAGATCGTGTTAAGATAGTTGTCTCTACAAACATGAATTGTTGCCACTAATTGCTTTTAAATATAGTTTAGTCGTGCTGTCAGAGGCCTTTGTTCCTTTGGTGAGCCCTTCCCTGGGGCGGCAGACAGTGGCCATATCTGGGACTCCAGCAACCTGGCTCACACTGGTAGCCCCGCCCTGCTGACTCCCTGAGGCCCCGCCCCACCCAACTTTTAGGCTCACCCAAGCTGTTGCTACTTGCTTAACCATAGGATTGGCCTGTCTTGGATCCTGCTTCAGGTTTTTCCTAAATTCTTTCAAACGAGCAGCATCGGGTCTCAGCGAGCCCCATACCTCTCGTTAAGTAATACACAGAAACAAACACAGGGAGGCAGCAAAATGAGGAGACAAAGAAACAGGTCCCAAATGAAAGAACAGAACAAAACCCCAAGAAAAGAACTAAGCGAAATGGAGATAAGCAACCTAACAGATGCTGAGTTCAAAATACTGCTTATAAGGATGCTCAATGAACTCAGTGAGGGCCTCAAGAGCATAAAAAAGTACCAGTCAGAAACGATCGCTGCACAGTTAGAAACGAAGGAGGCTTTAACTGAAATAAAGAATAATTTACATAGCTTCAATAATAGAGTACGTAAATCCAAGGAGCAAACCATCGATTTGGAATATAAGGAAGCAAAAAACGCCCAACCAGAACAGCAAAAAGAAAAAAGAATCCAAAAAAATGAGGATAGTGTAAGGAGCCTCTGGGACAACTTCAAGCGTGCCAACATTCGCATCTTGGGGGTGCCGGAAGGAGAAGAGAGAGAACAAGAAATCGAAAACCTGTTTGAAACAATAATGGCAGAAAACTTTCCTAACTTGGTGAAGGAAACAGACATACAAGTCCAGGAAGCACAGAGAGTCCCAAACAAGATGAACCCCAAGAGGCCCACACCAAGACACATCATCATCAAAATGCAAAAGGTTCAAGACAAAGAGAGAATCCTAAAAGCAGCAAGAGAAAGGCAGCTAGTTACCTACAAGGGAGTTCCCATTAGGCTGTCAGCTGATTTCTCAAAAGAAACTTTGCAGGCCAGAAGGGAGTGGCAAGAAATATTCAGAGTGATGAAAACCAAGAACCTTCAACCAAAATTACTCTATCCTGCAAAGCTGTCATTTAGAATCGATGGACATATAAAAACTTTCCCAGACAAGAAAAAGCTAAAGGAGTTCATTACTACCAAACCGTTATTATATGAAATGATGAAGGGTCTTTTTAAAGAAAAAGATAAAATGTAGGAACAAACAAAATGGCAATGAATACATATCTATCAACAATGGAATCTACAAACAAAATGAACAGGAAGAACAGGAACATTCTCATAGATACAGAGAATATTTTGTTGGTTGCCAGTTGGGAAAGGGGTTGGGGGAATGGATGAAAAAGGTGAAGGGATTAAGAAGCACAAATTCATTGCTAGACTGACAAACCTCAAAGGGAAAGGGGTTGGGGGGGGTGGGAAGAAATAAACCAAAGAACTTATAGGCATAACCAATGGACACGGACAATAGTATGGGAAAAGGTGGGAGGGGGCGGGAGTGGGGAGGAGGGGGTCAATGGGGGAAAACTGTGGAACATCTGTAATACATTTTACATCCAACAATAAAGATGTGGAAAAAAAAAATAAAAAAAAAAATAAATATAGTTTAGTTTGTGATAGTTGGAAAACTGATGATAACATCAATCCATTTTACTATGCTAAGAAAATAATTGGCTAACCAGATTGTGATAGGAAAATGTCATTCCATTGTGAAGTGTTGCTTCTAGTGGGTCAATGTAAGTCTTAAAAATTGGCTAATAAAGCTCCTCCCTCCAGCTGTCCTCCCAAAACCCTCAGCTTGTCTCCTTTCACATTATAATAGCTAAATTTAAGATCATAGTTTATAGACGTGTGATGTTTGATTGCAGATGTGGACGCCACGTGCAGCGACTTTAATTTTGGGACAGCTCTGCACATCGCCGCTTATAACCTGTGCGCGGGCACCGTGCGGTGCTTACTGGAGCTCGGAGCGAACCCCGCGTTCAGGGTAAGAGGTTCAAGTAAAAGAATTAAAACGTCTAACATTATCTCCCAGTAAAGAATTGAATCTAGAAGTTGCTTTTGAACTCTGTGTAAGCAAATAATCTATATTTGTGTGTCCCATATAAAGGGTAATGATGATAAACTTTATTTCAGATAAATGTAAGACATAGCAGGGAATTTCAGTCCCCTTATATTGATAAGCTCAACAAAACTTACTTTTATTCAGCAAAGTAAAATTCTCCTTAAAGTGTCATCATCTTTGTGTTTAAGGATCTTTCATTTAGGCTTTTGATATATTTATAAAAGTTGACTGACAAATACAGATACATATATTAAAGTTATATTTTGTATTAAATCATATTTTAAATTCTTTTGGAAAAAAATTTTAATTCCAGACAATTAAAAAAAAAAGCACATCTAAAAATGGAATGAACTTTTAAAAATCAAATGAAAGGAAAAAAATGTATTTTTTCATGGTAATGTTACTGATTTACAAAGTTACTATATAGTATTGAATTTCATAATCTTTAAATCCTTCGGTATTTATTGTCTCCACAAAAGTGGCTCTGGGTGTTCTTTTCCCTGATGTCAATGCCGGAGACTTGATCTGGCAGGGATTCTTAATTGGGTCTGTGCCTGCCCTTGAAGGGGCAGGGGTGGGAGATGTTTCCTGTCCTCCCTGGTTTCCTTCCCCCCCTTCTTCCTACTTCTTTGCCACTATTCTTTCTGTTTAACTCTTGTCAATTAGTGAAGTAACCCCTCCCTCCCTTCCCCCCTCCCCTCCCTCCTCTCCCCTCCCCCCCTCCCCACTTGTTTACTGGGCACTGGGAGAAAACAGCAATAAGGAAGGTAAAGTCTCTGTTTTCAAAGCGAGTGCAGCCTAGAGGCGAGGACGGACGAGTGAGCACTCCTTTTTGCTGTAGGGTGTTGAGCTGAGTGGTAGAGGGACAGGTAAGGTGTGCACTGCACTGCGTGCCACACGGGGTGTGTGTCTGTCCAAGGCTTCCTGACCAAGGCGACATTGTGTGCTCGGACGTAGCTCAGAATTAAGCAGGTGCACATAGGAGGGAGGTGAGAAAAGCCTTTTAGACAGAGACAGTAGCTGAGCAAAGGCTAGGAAATGACAATTCAGCTGGGCTGGAATGTGAGGGGATCAGTGTTTGCTTTTGCCAGTACAACTGTTGACAAACCCCACTAGTGGAGAGAATATTTTGGATTTAGTAAGATGCAGTTGTTGGCGTGGTGAGAACGGCCCCAGGTATTAGACGGGTGGGCCCAGACGGGACCTGGGTTCAGCAACCTTGGTACTTGAGTTCTGGCTAGGAAAGAATTCAGAGGTAAGACTCAAACTATAAGAGAAAGTTGATTTAGAAAGTCACGGAGGCAGAAGAAGTGAGTGGTAGAAGAAATGGGCTCAGAAAACAAGGAACAGAGGCAAAAGAAGGGCGCTTGGAGCTTAGGAGAGAGAAGGGTAATGCTGATGGGCTGGTGGAGGGGAGGGGAGGACAAGGGAAAGGGTGCGGGCATGCTCCTGGAGGTCAGAGGTCGCACTGGGTCCTCCTTCAGTCTAAGGGCTTTTAAGGGTGGAGATTTTAGGGGAGGTCCTAGGGAAGGCTCTCAGTAGAATATCCATCAGCTTTTTAGGTGTGTCTTTTCAGGGTCATGTTCTCCACTGACTGGCCAGTGCCTCGGAAGGTGGGGAGGTTGCGATAGTCAATGTGGCTACTCCTGGTGTCAGCCATGGCATCACTTTTTCTGGTTTTGCTTCTTTTCTGGGCCTGGAGCTGAAACACAACAGAGGCCTAGGTGTATTTGATGCATGTCAGAACCTCATTGTCAGGGCTGGGGTGGTGGGGACGGCTTAAAGCTTAAGGGCTGTTCTCCGGCCCCCTTGTTCATTCCCCTTCTGAGGGGATCTAACCTGCAAGACTAGCAACATGCCAGGGGCGGAAAGGTCAGGGGAGGGTCTGAGCAGCATGACCAGTGACAGGAAAGGACGCGGGGTCTAAACCACATGACCCAGAGGTATGCTGGGGGAGGAAAGGTCACCCTGGGGCAAAGTCCTTGTTTTTCCAGTTTTGCCAATTGCTAGGCCCTGGGGCTTCCGCCCAGTGGGCCGGCAGCCCTCGGACATGCTCTGATGCCACTGTTTCAGGAAAAAAAACGGAATTCTGAATTAATCATGAACAAGCCTTCTTATGTTACTATGACAATCATTGTTATTTATTTTAGTATGTTTCTTAACAGAAGTTTTAGTTACTAACTTTTATAGGAATTAGCATAAGTGTGTGACTTAAGAAAGGTGATGACTTAACAAAAATATGAAGTAAAATGTTTGTTGTAAATATAGCTTACAATTTATCAGTACAGGTGTTTATTTTTTAAATTTTCCATCTATTTTTTTTTCTTTTTATTAAATTTATTGGGGTGACATGGATTAATAAGATTTTATGGGTTTCAAGTGTATGTTTCTATGCTACATGATCGTCACATTGCATTGTGTGCCCACCATCCAAAGTCAAGTCTTCTTTTGTCATCATATAATTTATCCCTTTTACCCTTTGCTAATCCCCATCCCCTTTCCCTTTGGTAACCACCATACTGTTGTCTATGAGTTTTTATTTTCCTTGTTTGTTCATTTGTTACTTACAGTTTTATATCTTACATATGAGTGAAATTATGGTATTAACTTTCTCTCTTTTTATAGAGTACATTAATATCTTATTAGCTATTATATATCGTCATTATATTCTGTATTTTTTCTTTGAAATCTGGCATTAAAATAGCCCATCACCAGAAATGTGATAACCTGTCTTCCTACCATATTTTTGTTACTGGACAGGGGACTGGCCTGGAGTGTGTCTGCCTTGGGCCCACAGGTAGTGCGTGGGTTCTTGACTTCGTGTAGGAAAGATTTCACAAGACGAGTCCAGGTGATTTTTAGAGTATGTTTATTAAAGCTGAGGAACAGTAAGGAAGGGCTTAAGGTAGAAGAAGGAGCAGGAGAGAGAAAGTCAGAGAAAAGGGGGCCTTGGAGACAGGTTCAGGGGTTAGCCCGGGATGAGCTGCCGCTGCCCACTGCTCCCCTGGTTGCAAGTCTCATGCGGACCCTTAGAGAAAGAGAACAGAGACACAAGGCATGGACTTGCTCTAGTGAGCGCTCAATGTGGGTCCTTTGTCTTGAGTCTTTTTATCTTTCTTTGGACAGTGGGAATCCTAGGGGAGGCCTGGGGGGAGGGGGTCTTAACAGAATATTCATTAGCTTTCCAGGTGGGTCCTTCAATATGTCGATTCATCAAAATGTGTGTCTAGGGAGTTCAGGGTTATTTTCTGGTTGGTTTTCGTTTTAAAGAATGTCATCAAAGAGGAACCAAACCCAGGCCGGTCTGCCCTGGGGTGGTCTGGAATGTGTAAACCATTTGCTCCTATGTGTCCTTGGTTAGGGAAGATAACACCTTGTGATTCATTAACTGGCTGTAAATTACTCAGATTATTTGGCCTTTTTAAATTATTTTGTCTCAGTTTCCCTTATGCCACCTGTGGAGGAATTTCCCTAACTTCTTACTCTCCTGCCACGTTTTTACTCAGGACCAAATGGACTCAGATTTTAAACAAAACTTGCACTTGTAAACTTATCTTCACCATATGGATCATTTGAAGATAATAATCAGTGGAGAAGAAAAGGGAAAAATGTTTCTCAGCAAAAGAACCTTGATTGATCATCTTAAAAGGAGATTTCAATCTGGAATCTTTTTCATAAATTCTAAGTTTTGGGGTTTGGGAACACAGAAGAAAGCTGACTCATTGGAGGGAAGCACAGCGTGGAGAATCTGGTGGGGCCGAGGCACGGATTGTAATGTGTTCTCTGCCATGTCAGTGACTCTGAGCAAGTCAGCAATCTCTCCTGATCCAATTATTTTCATTCGCAAACTAGAAATGGTAGTAATATTGCTTGTTTTGTTGGTGACTGTCTCTCCTACTACAGATTCTCCTACAATAAATTCTTAGTGCGCAAGGATTATTAGCTGTTTTACTCTCAAATGTCTTCTCGCGTGAGAACCACGTGAGAAAATTTGTATGGTAGGGTGTTCATTTGACAAACACCATGCAGATGCTAGTGGGCTGGCAGCTGACCCATTTGCTCCTGGTGCAGGATGAGGCCTGGGGTAGTCTCTCCTTCATAGTGAGAACAGAGCTGTTTTCTTGATTCAGAGCCCAAATTTGAAAAGTGTAGAAACCACATGTAGCTCCTATTCCTGAAATCTGAGTCACCCCATGAGTAGGCAGGAGAGGCTGCGGTTGGATAGCTGAGGTGGCAGCTGTGGGCTAGTGGAGAGAGTCTCAGATCTGGGGTTGGGAAGCCGGTCAGTCCTGTGACTTCTGTCCCCAAACTTGCCTTGTCCAAACCTGTGCAGCCAGGCATGCCATGACTCATGGCTTAGCGCTCGCTCTTTCCCGAGCCTGGGATGCTTTTCCTCCCAGCCAACCTGCATGCTACCTGCCTATCGCCCGGGGCCTCTGTGTCGGTGTTTCTTAGCAGGAGGCTTCCCTGAGCACTCAGGTGGCCGCCTCTGTCCCTGTGTCCTCTGTTCCCCTCCCCTGAGCTGCCCCCTTTACCATCGCCACCCTGTGTCTCCTGGTTTGCCTGTTTAGAGTCTGTCTCTCCCTCCAGAATGTGCTCTTCGAGGGCAGGGCTCTGTTTCCTTCCTGTGGGATGTTCAGTACTCAGAATGGTGTGTGGCAGGTAGTAGATGTCAGATATTTAAAGATAATAATTGTATATGACTGTGTAGAGCTCCAAGTAGATGTGAAGTGAAAATGTTCTCTGTGTTTGCAGAATGACAAAGGAGAGATGCCTGTCGATGTGGTCCCAGACCCAGTGGAAATGCCCTTGGAAATGGCCGATGCGGCGGCCACGGCCAAAGAAATCAGGCAGATGCTGTTAGACGCGGTGCCCCTGCCGTGCGAGGTCCCCAAGCCCCTGCTTCCAGGTTCCGACCGTGCTGCTAGCAGGGCGGTGCTGACGTCGGTGGGCCTGAAGTTGGGGGACCGCGTTGTTATTGCAGGACAGAAGGTACAGTAAGTAACCACCGTGTCTAAAGCAGCGTCCAAGGTCACTTTGTCTGTGGTCTGTGTGCCAAGGGTGCGTTCAGTTCGGTCAGTGTTGAGCCTTTGAAAAAAGTTCAATATGTAGGTAGATACTGAATGGAAAATGTGAAACCAAGACGCACGTTGACCACGAAGTATGACTTAAGAATACATACTATTTGAACTTGATAATGAAAACATCTTTACTTGGATGGGAGATGAGTGGACTACAGTTGAGCTGTTGAGTGAATTGAGGGGCATGATGGAACCTGGGGTTTTTCCTGGCGCCCCCAGCCCTCCCTAGTGTGTTCCTCCCACAACCACTCACAGAAGCGGAGCACAGGGCACCTCGCCATTCATGGTGCCTGGCTTTGAGAGCCCACAGATGGCGAGATCTTAGATGCAATTTTAACCCGCTGATAAAAGTGTAATGGGAAAAGAGCCCCCCACCCCCACCCACCCCATTGAAGACACTCCAAAGCCTCAGTTTCCTTATGGCATTCACTTGTCACCAGTCTCTTATTCTTAATACCTCATATGGAATGTTTTTTTTTTTGTTGTTGTTGTTGTTTTGTTTTGTTTTTTAGAATTTTGGGGTTATGGAGAATGGAACAGGGAATTCCTGGTTGGATGTTGAATTTTCTATTGTAGTTACATCTAAATATTTGGGTAGGCTTATAGGGAAGGGGTACACATTTCTTAGAATACATGGAATTTGGAAGTTTGATTTACTGGGAAAATTGCTTTGAAAAGGATGGTGCTCTAGAAAGATCCTGTTTTGCTGACAATGGCATTTGCTGACCTCCCCAAGAAGAAACTCACAGGCCTTTCGTTAGCTTCCACCACCCCACCTGGAAGTGGGGGTATCAGGGAATCATGAGTGCAGGGCACTGTTTGAACTGAGGGTTCATATTCAGCTTCTTTGATATTCTTGTCCCGTGCCTGAGAATGCACTTTTACAAGAATTATTCTGTTGTTTTACCTTACTTTCTATTTTGGATAATTTAAAGCGATACAGAAGGAGACGCAGATAATGGACGTGCGTATACCAGTCAGCTGGCTTTAACTGGGCCACCTTGCTTCCAGTCTTGTTATTTTTATTTTCGTTCTATCACTTGGTTTTTCATTCTCTGAGGAGTGCCTTTCAAAGAGCAGAAGTGTTAAATTTCGATGAAGCCCATTTTATCAACTTTTTCTTTTATGGTTTGTGTGTTCAGTATATCTAAGAAATTGCTATGTTTTCTCCTAGGAGTTTATAATTTTAGGTTTTATATTTAGTTTTGAGTTAATTGTTATATAAAGTACTAAGAGGTCCCTCCCTCCCGTTCTTTCCTTCTCCCCCTACCCTCTCTTTCTCTCTTACTTCCATCCATCCACCCATTTGTTCCAGCATCATTTTTTGAAAAGTCTATTCTTTCTCTCTCAAATTGCCTCTGCTCCTGTGTCAATTGACCGTGTATGTGTGGGTGTATTTCTGGATTCTGTTTTGCTCCATTGATCTAACGGTTATTCTTTCTTCAATATTACTTGTCATGATTGCTGGAGCTTTACAGTAATTCTTGCTATTAGATATTTTTAGGCCTTCAGTCTTTTCTCTTCTTTTCTTTTCTCTTCTTTTCTTTTCTTAGTTCCTTTGCCTTTCAATGGACAAAGCTTATAGATTTTTATAAAAAATTCTGCTGGGATTTTGAATGGAGTTGTGTTAAAAACATAGGTCAGGTTGAGGAGAATTGACATCTTAAAAATGTCAAGTCTTTCTATCACAAATACACTATATTTATTTAATAGGCTTTTGGCTTATTTCATCAGTTTATAGTTTTCAGCATGTAGATATTGCACATACTTTGTTAGATTTATACCTAAGCTCTTCATAATCTTTGGTGCTCTTGTAAACAGTGGGGTTTTGAAATTTTATTTTCCAGTTGGTCATTGCTAGTGTATAGAAATAGAATTTATTTTTGTATATTGACCATGCATCCTGTAACCTTGCTAAATGTGTTAGTTCTATTGGCCTATTTTTCTTGTGGGTTCTTTGAGATAGCCTATATAAACAATCAGGCTGTCTTTGAATAGAGACAGTTCTTTCCAACCTGTGTGCCTTTTATATTTCTCACCTATTTCATTGCCGAGGATGTAGAGGGGAAGGCAGCCAGTCTTTCGTTATTAACTATGAAACTGTTAGTTGGGGATTTTGTAGAGATACCTCTTACCAAGTTGAGGAAGTTGCCATCTATTCCTAGTTTGTTTTTTTTTAAAATTAATATTTTCATGAAATGATGTTGACATTTGCTACAGGCATTTTTTTTTTTTTTTTTTGCATATGTCAAGAGGACAAGGTTCCCATTACCCTTCAGTCTATGGACATGATGTGGAACAAGCTTTTCATTCTCATAACAAACCTAACTTAGTCATGATGTGTTATTCTTTCTGTATATTGCTGGCTTTAATTTGCTACTGTGCTGTTGAGGATTGTTGTATCTGTGTTCAGGAGGGATATTGGTTTATAGTTTTCTTGTAATGTTTTGGCTGCTTTTGGTATCAAGGTAATGCTGGCTTCATAAACTGAACTGGGAACTGGTTCCTCTGTTTTTATATTCTAGAAAAGTTTATATAGAACTGATATTATTTTTCCTTAAATTCTTTGGTAGAACGCACTAGTGAGTACTCTTAGGTCTGGAATTTATTTTTGAAGATTTTAAATTACAAATTCAATAGAGGTGTGAGCTTTGACAGTTTGTGTCTTTTTTTTTTTTTAACTGTTAATTTTGCTTCCATTCTTTTAAAAAATATATATATATTTAATTGATTTTTTTTTTTTTTTAGAGAGGGAGGAAGGGAGTGAGAGAAATATTGATGTGAGAGAGATACATTATTGGCTGCCTTCTGCACACCCCCCCCATTGTGGAACTAGCCTACAACCCAGGCATGTGCCCTAACTAGGAATTGAACCAGCACCTCTCAGTCCATGGGGCGATGCCCCATCCACTGAGCCACACCAGCAGGTGACAGTTTGTATCTTTTAAGGAACTAGAATATTTTATCTCATTTATCAAATTTATAGGCATAGAATTATTCACAGTATTTTCTTACTATTCTGTAAATGATTGAGGGAGTGTAATAATGTCCCTCTTTCATGTGATGTTTGTAATATGTGTCTTCTTTTTATCCCTCTTTGGTCTTCAACTGCAAGTTTTTTAATCTTATTTGTTCTTCCAAAGAGCCAGCTTTGGTTTCATTGATTTTTCTCTGTTGTTTTTCTGTTCTTAATTACTTAACTGTATTATTTCCTTCCTTTTGCTTGCTTCAGGTGTTCACTTTCTAGTTTCTTAAAATGGAAGTTTATATCATTGATTTGAGCCCCTTCCTAATGCAAGCATTTTAATACTCTAAGTTCCTTTCTTAGCACTGCTTTTGCTGCATCCCATTTGTTTTGAAACACTTTGTTATCATTTTCATTAATTCTAAATGTTTTCTGATTTCCCCCTTCACCATGGGTAATTTAGAAGTATATTGTTTAATTTCCAAATATTTGAAGATTTTCCATATATTTTTCTGTTAGTGATTTCTGGTTTCATTCTATATGGTCTGAGAACATATTTTGTATGATTTCTATTCTTTTCATTTGTATCCTGCTGTTTTGGGGGGAATGTTTCATACATGTCAGTTACATCAAGTTTGCTTAGTTGTTTTTTATATTCTTACTGATATCCTTCCTACTTGGCCTATTGATTACTGAGAGGTGTGTTGTAGGCTCCAACTGTAATTGTGGGTTTGTCTGTTCCTCTTTTCAGTTTTTTTAATTTTTTTTATCCTCACCCGAGGACATTTTTCCATTTTTTGTTCAGGTAGAGTGGGAGGGAGAGAGAGGAACAGATATATAGAGAGAAACATCAACGTGAAAGGAACACATCGAGTGGCTGCCACCCACACAACCAACCAGGGCTGGGGACAAACTGCAACCGAGGTACATGCCCTTAGCGGGAACCAAACCCGGGTCTCTCTGGACCGCAGGCCGACGCTCTAACCGCTGAGCAAAACCGGCCAGGGCCAGTTCTATCAGTTTTTATTTAGTATGTTTTGAAGCTGAGTTCTTAGGTGCATACAGATTTAGCACTCATGTCTTCTTGGTGAAGTGACTCATTTTTATTTATTTATTTATTTATTTATTTATTTATTTATTTATTTATCCTCACCCGAGGACATTTTTTTATCCTCACCCGAGGTACATGCCCTTAGTGGGAACTGAACCCGGGTCTCTCTGGACTGCAGGCCGACGCTCTACCGCTGAGCCAAACCGGCCAGGGCTTATTTATCATTATTTAATGTCCCTTTTTACCCCTGGTAATTTCCTTGTTCTGAAGTCTACATTGACAGAATGATTTAAAGAAATACTTCTATAGTAAAGTTGCCAGAGTAGGACACTTAGAATTACTAGTAACACTCAAAAGTTACTCTAATTTATGTTTTGTATAGGTTGGAACATTAAGATTTTGTGGAACAACTGAGTTTGCAAGTGGGCAGTGGGCTGGCATCGAGCTGGACGAACCAGAAGGAAAGAACAACGGAAGCGTCGGGAAGGTCCAGTACTTTAAATGTGCCCCCAAATATGGTAAGGAAGAGCCCAACTTACTGACAATTAAGTTCAAATAATCAGATTTCTTTCTCCTTTATTATTTTAAAATAAAACTCTCCCTGGGTTACTTATATAATGAACGAATGGGCTGCTGTTTGCTTGCCGTGAGCAGGAGTACACCCAGCTCTTCAGACCTCCCGAAAATCCTTCTTGTGGTTGTGCCATGACCAGTGAAGGACTTTATTTTCAAGGAAATACAGAGCTCTGGGGGTTGAGAGCTTGACACAGTGGAAAAGCAAGCGAGGCCAACTTTAGCGTTCTTTCTATACTCCCGAGCTGGGATGCTTCTCTTCCTGACAAATATTGTTTAATTAAATTCATATTCTCTTACACACACACACACACACACACACACACACACACTCCTTGACACATTGATTGCAATTTGTTTTTCACTTACTGTGTTGTGAATGTTTTTTCTTGCCATGAAATACTCTTCTAGAACATTCGTTTCCCTGGTTGCACAACATTCGTCTTACAGCTCTGGGGGAGGCAATGTGGTGCATTGCTGGAGTGTGGGCTTTGGGGTCTGAGTGCTTGGCTGTGAGCCAGCTTCTCCACCTTCCAGCCGTGTGACCTTTTTCCTCTTCTTGGGGGGATGACAATACACCCCAAAATTCATGTGAGGATTGAATGTGTTGATGAAGATGAGCCCGTGGAAGAGTGCTGGATTCCCTGTAAACACTCAAAAAAATGTTAGCTATTTGCCAGCTGTTACTAATATCAAAATGACCTGTTTCTTTTTGTTAAACACTTAAGATGGAGCCTTATTTGTTTGGTTTATGACCAATTTTTTTGTTTATAAAAATGCTCATTGGATAAGATTTGAAAAACATAAAAAAGGAGAAAGAAGAAGAAAATCATCTGTATATTTTTTTCTGTTTAACTTCTTTACAAAATTTGGATTATATATAGTTATATATTCTGTACTTTTACTTGACAGCCGGTATAATTTCCCTAAATCTTTAAACAGTGTGATTTTTATGTCTTTATTTCTTTTAATTTTTTTTCTAATTTAATGGGTGAAAATTTATATGTTTGAATTCATATTTCTCTGATTGTGGTGAAATAAAACATTTAAAACTGCAAATACATACTTAGGATATTAAGCCCTTATATTTTATTATAGATATTTTTTCAGTTTGTCATTTGCCTTTGAACTTCATTTGCAATGTTTTTGAACATACAGTTTTATGCAGTTAGACTTTTTCCTTTATCATTTCTTCCATTGCATTTAAGTTTAGATAGATCTCCCTAATCCAGTCATTAGTTATAAGTTATATATTTTATTCTTTTGAATGTTTTACTTTTTAAAACTACATTACTTAACCCATTTGGAATTCATTTGGTTAGTTGTGAGAGATTAAGAATTTAGTTTTAATTTTCCTCTATTAGCTAATTTTGGCAACTGTCAAGCAGACTAAAGGCAAGAGCAAAACCATTAGCAGCACACATGGCAGAGGTAGATCAGATGGATGGGAAATGCTCACATTGTAACAGCATGCACGTGGGCTCCCCAAATCTCATCATCCGCAGGAGAGGCATGGGTGATCAGGACAAAGCTGGATCCCCCCAAGAACCTTGCCTCTGTTTCCTTTACAAAGTTAAAGGCAAGTTGGGGGGCAAGAACCATGTGTTGAGTTATGTAGAAGGATGGGAGTAGACTTCCCGCCGAGCCAGCTTGTATTCTGAGCCAGGTCAGTTCCAAATCACTGAGGCGGGGGCAGGAGAGGCAGGGTGGGAATGGTGAAGAACCTCCTGATTAAACAGGACCCGAAGAATTGGTCTCTTCTCTGCAACAGTTTTTCTCTCTATCTCTAAATCTATCACTTTCCCTGTGACTTCAGTGTTCCTTTATTATAAGTTCTGATAAAGGCTATATCAGTTTCAGAATTATTTTGTTCCAATGAGCTGTTCCTTCTGGCACATATTAGATTTTTTAAATTGCAGAAATGTAATCATTTTTAATACTTTTTTTGTAGAGTAGTTTTAGGTTCACAGCAAAATAGAGAGGAAGGGACAGAGATTTCCTGCATACCCCCTGCTCCCCCAGATACACGGCCTTGCCTGTAGCCAGCATCCCCTCACCAGAGGCACATTTTTTTGCAGTTGGTGAGCCCACATTGACACATCCCACTCACTGAGTCTGGAGTGTACCTCGGGGTTGACTCTTTGTGTTGTACATTCTATGAGTTTGGACAAATGTGCAGTGATGTGTACCCTCCAGTATGGTATTATACAGAGTATTTTCTCTGCCCTAAAATAAGTCCTCTGTGCTTGGCCGAGTCATCCCTTCCCTCTCAATCCCTGGCAACTGTGGATCTTTTTACCGTTGAAATAGTTTTGCCTTTTCTGGAAGATCACATCATTGAAATCATAAGGTATGTATGAAGCTTTTGTACTTTGGCTTCTTTCACTTAGTAAAATGCATTTACATTTTCTCCATGTCTTCTCATGGCTTGATAGATATCTTTTTTTTTTTTAAATTCTCACCTGAGGACTTGTTTTTACTGATTTGAGAGAGAGAGAGAGAGAGAGAGAGATTGATGTGAGAGAGAAATATCAATCATTTGCCTCCTGTACATGCCCCAACCCAGGACTGAACCTGCAACCTGAGTATGTGCCCTGCCTGCAACTGAAACCTGAGACCCTTGGGTGCACAGGATGATGCTCCAACCAACTGAGCCACACTGGCCAGGGCAATAGCTCAGATCTCACTGCTGAAATATATTCCATTGCCTGTATGTATCACAGTTTATCTGTTCTCTGCTGAAGGCTATCTTGGTTGTTTGTAAGTTTTGGCAGTCATGAAAATTTTATAATCAATTCTAATATTGGTAACACTGTTTTTATGTCTGAATAATTACCAAAGTGAATACATGTGCCTAATTTAATAAGTCAAATTGTTATGCTAAGGTTTATTAATAACAAGCGCTGAACCCCCCTTGGCTTGCCCTTCCCTGACCCCGGGGCCTGCTGTTTAGAGACAAGAACTTTTCAACTCTGTTAACTGTATCTTCTGATATTAATATTCACAGTTGTCAATCATGTGTTTATGTGAAGCTTTCTTGGTCTTTCCACTTGGACGTCTTTTGACTGTACTTCGAAGAGGAAGATTTGGTGCTCCCACTAGTCCAGTTTCTGTGTCTCCTTTTTTGTTTGGTGGAGCACATTCTTCGGTATTTTTTAAACAAAGGACTCATGGGAGGTACATTTTTTGAGACCTTTTATTCTAAAACAATGTTCATTTCTGCCCTCACACTTCATGTGATAGTTCGGTAGGATAAATAATGTTGGGCTAGAATTTGTATTCTCTCAGTACTTTGTAGGTGATTCTTGACTGTCTAATGTAGTTTGGCAAACTTTTCCTGTAAAGGGCCAGATTGTAAATATTTTAGGCTTTAATGAGCCATGGTGGTTGTTGCAACGACTCGGCGCTCCTGCTGCAGTGAGCACGCAGCCCAGCCCGTCTGTAAAGGGGCAGGTGTGGCTGAGCTCCGTGCCGCTTTGCAGAAACAGGCGGAGGACCGGGCTCCTCCTTCCGTTACCAGCCGTGACCTCTGGCTCCAGTGCTGCTGCTCAGAGTTTCCCTGGGCTTCTGGCTTCTGTCTTCGACCTTTCCTCCTCTCGTTGGGAGCTTCTTTGGATGCTTTTAGTATTTTTTCTCCTTTTGTTCATTTTCTTTTATCTTTAGAATTTATACTACTTTTTTTTTTTCATCCTCACCTGAGGACATTTTTCCATTCTTTTGTTCAGACAGAGTGGGAGGGAGAGAGAGGAAGAGAGAGAGGGAAACATCGACGTGAAAGGGACACATTGAGTGGCTGCCACCCACACAACCCAACCAGGGCCGGGGACAAACTGCAACCAAAGTACGTGCCCTTAGCGGGAACCGAACCTGGGTCTCTCTGGACCTCAGGCTGACGCTCTAACCACTGAGCAAAACTGGCCAGGGCTAGAATTTATACTACTTTTATTCCTTACTAATATTTTAGTGAAATTTGGGGAAAAATTTGAGTTAAACACACAAATTAAACACATATATTTCAGTGGAGTTTTGGGAGGAACTGTGGTTAAACAAATGGGCCATGTTTCTCTGAAAATGTATTATCCTTCTATTTAAAAATAATTCTTCCTGCCTGGCCAGTGTGGCTCAGTGGTTGAGGGTCGACCCATGCATCAGGAGGTTGCCGGTTCGATTGCTGGTTCGATGCCCGGTCAGGGCACATGCCAAGGTTGTGGGCTCGATCCCCGGTGGGGGTGTTCAGGAGGCGGCCAGTTGATGTTCTCTCTCATTGATGTTTCTATCTCTCCCTTCCTCTCTCTCTAAAATCAATAAAGAAAAAAATAATTCTTCCTTATGTGCTTATTTTTACTTAAACCTTACAGTTATGTATGAAGATCTGAAAAAAAATTCCATCCATAAATTGATTAGTATGAATTACTGAATAGAAAGGTTAGCCCCTATACCACGCACACTTTGGGTTTTGATGGTATGCATTCATTGCTTTAAATTTAGTTTTGGTTTTCTCAAATGATCTGGTTAATAAAATAAACAACAACAACAACAACAAAAAAACAAGAAGAAGAATAATTATATAGATTAGGTTTTATATGTTATAGAAATCTTTTAAAGCCATAGAATTAAATATTTAATTGTTATATTAAAGCAAATATACTTTATCACATGGAATTTTTCTAGTAAGACTTTGAAAGAAAAACCAAATAATTTATTTTAAAGAATTCATTGAACCTTATTGTTATTGATACAACTTTGAAAAATCGTTAATAGTCTGCTCTCATACATGTTTCAGTTTCCAATTTTCTACAGTCCTTTTTATATCTATATTATAATATTTCACAGATATAATCACAGTGTAATCAAATATATAACTTAAATTTTATTTTCTTGATTACTTTTTATATTTTTTATATTTCTACATAATCTTTATTGTTTTATTTATGAATGGTGATATTGTAATTCATAGATATAGAAAATTCATTCATCCTATTGCCAAAAATGGTTTTTCCTACTTATAAATAATGCAATGATGACATATTCAGGTATATAGTCTCTTCTTCCTATTTGGATTATTTTCTCATGATTAATTTCCAAAATGGGTTATAGTAGTAAACTAGAAATTGTTTTGGCTCTTGAAATCTGTCTTCTCCTTATCATATACAAATGTAGTCGTGTGACCTTTGGGCACACCTCTCAGTATAAGTATTTTCTTATGATTAATGCAATGAAGTGGATTAGGTCAGAATTTTTATCTTTCAGTAACATTGTACAGATGTGTATTCCCAGGGTATAAAGTAATTTTTCCCCCAACTCTTGGCAACACTGGATATAATCATCATCAAGGGCTTGTGTGTATTTGCAAAGAAAAGAATAGAAAGAAGCTCCAGGGAAACGCTAGGTGGGGACAGAGAGAACGCTGGGTAAACCCAAGTGGTAGGAAAGTCAGGGTGAGGTGGTGTAGAATCAGGGGCGGGCTGGGGGGTGAAGTTCCAAGGTCAGTAGAAAAGTATCGCACTTGACACTGGTTATGCTTGTTAGCTATTAACAAAGCACTCATTTTTTGTAGTAGCGAGCATTTCTACAATCTGATCTGAAAACAAGTTGTTTATAATATTTTACATTTTACTCATGATGTTATAAACACTCAATGGAAGCATGTCATATACATATTAGGACTCTTTTTTTTTTTTTTAAATTTTAGGACTTTATTTTCTTTTAAAAAATGTCTCAGCCAGATCATCTTGGCATTTATAGTCCATACCCACTATCTGTAATGTCTGTACCTACTTATTGATTCTGGATTTTTTTTTTTCCTGGATAAACACCTTAAATGCAATTCTGTGCTTCCAGCCACTGCAAGTAGGTGCCCCTCCCCATGTCTGTGTGTGCCTCCTCCTCAGCACACACGGTATTGTTTCTGACCGTCAGGAGCCGAGGGCTAGGCATTTAGGGGAGATTATATTTTATACTCACAGGATTTTTAATCTCCCTCCATGTGTAAGGCGCTGTCGTTTGGGACAGTGGGCGAATGCAGAGGTGAACGGTACTGACTTTTGTCTTCTAAAGCTACGCAGGCTCAGAGAGAGAAAACACGGACAGGAAAGGCTTTAATGTGGGGAAAAGATAAGTCTGGAAGGCGGTATAGACAAAGTGACACGGGAGGGTGGTTTTTATATTATACAGTGCACTATTTGTCAGTAGTTTAGTCAGAAATAATTATGCTGGGACAGGGGAACCTTCGCTCATTTCTCCTTTCCCTGCATTTCACTTACCATTCGATTGTGTGTCCTGTGTGGGATTCTTAACTTATAGGGTATGTCATTAGTCTTGGCAGCCAGGTTGTAAGCTCTCTGGGGGCACTGCTGTGTCTTACTTCTTGCCTGTCCCTGCAGGACACCTAGTAGGTGCTAAAAACGAACTCAAGATTTATATTACTAAGTAGCTGCGCGGGCCCCTTTCTTTGAAATGCTTTTAATTGCTTAACACCAAAATTCTACATTCTCCCTTAGGCATTTTTGCACCTCTTTCAAAGATAAGTAAAGCAAAAGACCGAAGGAAGAATATGGTCCACTCTCCGTCTGCAAGGGCGGTGCCACTCATCCGGTCCCAGAAGGTTGATGTGGCTCACGTAACGTCGAAAGTAAACACTGGTAGGTCGAACCCAAAGGTTAAATGTCTTCCTCAGTGTTTTAATTTTATTTGTGGAATGCCTTATATTTAAGTTGCTTCACACCTGTTTTGCTCCCTGTGAAACCCGCAGCTAATAAAACCTGCCTCCTAATGTGTTTTTAGACCTCAGTCGTAGTTTATGAGTTTAATTCCTGACCAGAGTATTTCAGAGTTGTGCCTTTTCTTCCTATTATCTTCATGCCTTTATCACCCACCCCAGTCTAACCTCAAAGCTAGATTTTATACCTCTAATAAATCGTTATATAACTAACTTGATGTTTATCACCTGTTCAAGCGTCTTAGTGACTTGTTTTTAATCTGAAAACGCCCCAACGCTTAGAACTGGCAGGGGGAGCCCGTTCTCTGTTTGATGGAGTTTCATTGCTGCTGTAGTTGAACGGGGTTGGTTATCTCTGTCTCCCGTGCACACTGTTCACTCTTCCCCGAGCACTTAGTCTCGTGCTAGTTCCCAGGGCAGTCATCTGCCTTCTGCCTTCTGAGTCCGAGCCACTCTTGACGCCTCTTTCCGATCCTGTTTCTCCGTGAAAACTTCCCTGGTGACCCCAGAGCTCTGATCACTTCATTCCCTGCCTCCGTCCGCACTTTATCCACACCTCCCAACTGTTCTTTGTTATCTGGGGTTTTGTCTTCTGACTCCTTTACTCGGGCAGATCTTTTATTCTCTCAGCGAAATCGGGAACTTTAAATGGACTGCGAGAGTATTTTGTATTTTTGTCTGCATTGTAGCACGTAGCACAAAATAGGAGCGCGATGCATGCATCCTTGCTAACTCTTTAATACCTGACGCAGAAAAGGTGTTCTGCTGCGATGTAGGGGTCTCGTCCAGGAATTGGGTCTGCCCCCTGGGCTCTTCCATTGGGCTGTTACATATCCCCGGGCAACACTGCACCTCCTAGCTACTGTAGGTTTCAAAAAATGCCTCTGATGCCCAGTGGAGCACAGCCTTCCTGCCTTGAACCTGCCTTGCCTGTGTGTGCCCTCATAAACCACACTTCTGTATACATTTTAGGATACGCTGTTTAGTTTCTTTTAAAATATATTCTTTGAAGTGTTCTCGGGTATTGCATTTAAACTTTAAATCAGAGCGGAAGAACGGACATCCTTAGAATATTCAGTCTTTTAATTATGAGCTTGGGAAATCTGTTCAGTTAGGTCCTTCAAAAATATTAAGTAAAGGTTTATAACTTTTCTATATAGATGTTTTGTACCTCTTTTATTAGCTCTATTCCTAGGTACTTCAGGCTTTTTGAAGCTATTGTAAGTGGAACCCTTTAAGCTGAAACCCCGAAGTTCCCAGCAGACAGGGACAGAAAGCTCACAGGGAAGCCCTCTCTTTCTGCTCTGGGAGTGGGAAAGGGGTCCCCTACTAGACAGAAAGGGGAGGAAATCCCTGGCCTTCTTTCATGAGTGCTTTTCTGTCCTTTGGTTCTTTCCTACCCCAACTCCTAGGGAGTCCTTCGTGGTGCAGCAGCGGCAGTGGGGGCCTGCGACCCCCGAGGGAGAACCCTTGTCTCTAAGCAGAGAAACTGGTCCCAGGAACGTGCATGGAATCCCATTAGTTTTTTGTCATTGTCTCCTGCTTGGCTCCAGGCAGGATCTGGCTCAGGAGACTGGGACAGAGGCGGGAACCGAAGCCTAGACATGGTCCCAGGACGCCCAGGAAGGGGCGCCCCCTGGGAGCAGAGAAGTGTCAGGGAGACCAGGGAGGCCCGGAGCTCAGGCAGGGGACCGCAGGATGTTGGGTGTGAAGTCCGGGGCTCACTCCCCGCTGCGTGCGTGGATCTGCCCCAGTCCCCGGCGATGCTGGGCAGCGTGGCACATGAGATGGGCCTCGAACGGCTTTGGCAGCGGAACTGACTTTGGGACCACAGTCACAGAGGTGGGTAGGAACTTTCAGCCTGAACCTAACGGTCAGCTGTCGGCTAACAAAAACAGAACAAAATTGTTCATAGGATTTAAACGAGACCCAGAGTCCTATAAAATAATATTCATAATCTATAGGATACAATCCAAAATTGCTCAAAATATGAATAACCAGGAAAATCTTAACACTGTCAAGGAAAAAGATGATCAAAATATGCCAGTCCTGCCCTGGTTGGTTTGGCTCAGTGGTTAGAATGTTGGCCTGTGGACCAAAGAGTTGAGGGTTCAATTCCAGTCAAGGGCATGTACCTCAGTTGCGGGTTCGATCCCCAGCCCTGGTCAGGGTTGTGCAGGAGGCAACCAATCAATGAGTCTCTCACATTGATGTTTCTTCCTCTCTCTTCCTCCCTCCCTCCCTCTTACTCTATCTAAAAAATCAACAGAAAAGTATCCTTGGGTGAGAATTAGAAAAAAAATTGATGTCAGTCGTGAGATGATACAGATATTTATCAGATAAAGGTTTAAAGAACATATAATAGCCAGTGCTCTAAGAATTAAGGGTGAACATTCCTTAGACAAATGGAAAGAAAGTTTCAGCAGAGAAATGAAGATATAAAAAGAACCATTGCCTTGGCCAGTTTGGCTCAGCGGTTAGAGTGTCGGCCCACGGACCAGAGAGGCCCGGGTTTGGTTCCCACTAAGGGCACGTACCTCAGTCGCAGTTTGTCCCCAGCCCCAGTTGGGGTCGTGTGGGTGGCAACCACTCGTTGTGTCTCTTTCACATCGATGTTTCTCTCTCTGTCTTCCCCCCCGTCTCCCTCCTGCTTTATCTCAAGATAAATGCAAAAAATGTCTTCAGGTGAGGATAAAAAAATTAAAAAAAAAAAAAGAAACAAACGCTGCACATGTACACACTTGCACACACAGGCACATATGCACACACACGTGCATACACACATGCACACACACTTGAACACATGTAAAATGGGGATACTTTAAGATTAGTGGATTGTATCAATGTTAGTATCCTGGTTACGATACTTGTAAAACGCTGCCTTTGGGGGAAACCAGGCAAAGTGTACAAGAAATGGCCCTGTATTTTTTTTTTTGTTTTTTTCTTGTCCTCACCTGAGGACATTTTTTCCATTTTTTGTTCAGATAGAGTGGGAGGGAGAGACAGGAAGAGAGAGAGAGAGAGAGAAACATCAACGTGAAAGCGACACATCGAGTGGCTGCCACCCACATGACCAACCAGGGCCGGGGACAAACGGCAACAGAGGTACGTGCCCTTAGCAGGAACCGAACCTGGGTCTCTCTCGACCGCAGGCCGACGCTCTAACCGCTGAGCCAAACTGGCCAGGGCCTTGTATTGTTTTTTATAACTGCTTGTGAATCTCCAGTTTATCTCCATAAACAATTCAAATATAAAGAAAGGACCAAATGGATATTTTAGAACTAAAAAATTGAAATTCACTCTGAGTGGTCATCACAAAGTCTCTCTTACCCACCTGTCCATTCAGTTCCTGCTGGGGTGGTTCTGGCCCCCATCCCTGGCCTGTGTAACAGCTTCTCGCTGGGTTCTCTTCCTCTAGTTTCCTCTGAGCATGCTGTCGGGGTCACAGCAGCGCCTGTAACTGTTCACGCCAGTCCTCCTTTCCAAGCCCATCGGGGGCTTGCTCCTTACTGAAGAGTTTCAGTTCCTTACCAGCACCATCCCTCTACGATTTTACTGTGACCTAATCTATCCAGTTTCTTTCTCCCCCAACCCCAAAGAACTCTAGTCCAGCCAAGCTACTCATCCTTCTCTGAACCTGTCTTTAAGGTTTTTTCAATCCATCCGGAATGCCCAGCCCCAGTTCTTTCTGACCATAGCTGCAGTATTCTCCAGAAGCAATCGGGCCCATTCCTCAACACCCTTCTTAACATGTGATCTGGTGCAGCCGTCGCTTCATCTTTGTAGCCATGATCATTGTCTGCTGCTCCTACGCTAGTGCTTATATAGAAATGCCCTCCTGTTTTAGTCACTCAGCTCTGTGTCTTCCTACCCCACCACATTGAAAAGGTTCTCCGTTAGGGCTCGGACCACGTCTTGCTGCTCACGTTTGAGATGCCAGTGCCCAGCTCCGCTCTTCGCCCCCTGTGCTGCGTGAGGGAGTGGGATTGGAGTGGATGCCGGGTGGAATTTAAGGCTGGGTGTAGTCCCCTCGATTTATTATTTACGTAATCTGGTTCAGGAGAATTGAAACAGGAGTCTTAACTAGGTAGAGTGTTATTCAAGAGCTTTATTTATTTATTTTTCCAGTGAGCTTTCTTTGTGGGAGTTGAGTGTGAGTGGGGTAGTCATTTTCAAAATACCAGTGGCAAAGAGTATAGGATTTCTTACCATCTGACTCTCACTTAAATGAGTGATTGCTATCATTATTTGTAAAAACTTATACCTAAAGTGTACTATCTAAATAGAGAATCTGCTGTAATGAATTTGTGTGCGCACACCAGTGAAATGATGTAAATCGTTTGCAAGTCCCAGCAAATGTACAGCAGTCATATCTTGGCTGTATTAGGTTTGCTGTATCTGCTAGTGTTGTGTAGACATACTAATGAGTGCGTTAAGTATCAAACAATTAAATAGCTGTGTCGCAAATGCTTTATATTATTTATAATTTCTTTTTTTTTAAATGGTTGCTACAATACTTTTATTTTTTCTCCTTTTTAATTTTATTTATTTATTTATTTTTGTTACAGATGTTTCTTTTTTTTTCCCCATTGACACCCTCCTGCCCATCCCCCGACCCCGTCCCCAGCTTTGTTGTCTGTGTCCATCGGTTATGTGTACATGCATATAAGTTCTGTGGTTTATCTTTTCCCTCCCCCTCCCCCTCTTCTGAGGATTGTCAGTCTGTACCCTACTTCCATGTCTCTGGGTCTACCCTGTTCCTCAGACTGTTATGTTCATTATATTCCACAAATAAGTGAGATCATGTGGTATTTGTTTTTCTCTGCTTGGCTTTTTTTGCTAAAGGTAATACCCTCCAAGTCTCTCCATGTTGTCTCAAAGGATAAGAGAGCTTTCTTTCTTACAGCTGCATAGTACTCCATT